GACGTTGACTCGAGTTGGCAATAGCAATGCCGGTGCGACATCCTGTGCCAGGGCACAAACTAAGAGCAACAACAGTCGAAACAAGAACTCAAGAATATTTCGTCGGAGAATCCATTTTCTTCTGAACAGTTTGTATTATAGCATTGACGCAGCGGCCAAACCTACATGTAGTGCATCTACCTCGAAGTACACGTATATTATGCTACTTATTGTAGCGATTGATAGGGCGTCAACACAGCGGGACTCAATACAGCTGTATCCGCCAAGCAACAAACCCATTCAGAGTTCCATGCAAAGGTGGTAACGTCAACTCGCCTGGTCTCAGCATTGAGCCGGGGCTTTTGGTTCGTCACGAAAAGTTGTCAGCAATAACGGGTCACGCTCGCCGCCATCACCTCGTACTCGCCGCTCGATTCATTGGCGACGTCCGCTGAGGTTGCACCCCGCCTCAGAAGTCCTGAGTCAGGGCGGCGGTGACACATTGCCTGTTGACAACATCGCAAACGATGTGCTCGCAGCGAGCGAGTTGAGGCCGCAGTCAGCGAGGAGAGCGTAGTCGTGCAGTTGTCTTCACTACGTGTTTTGATGAACGTGTTGAAGCTATGAGCCGGGCGTCGAGTTGTCCCAGTTTGCTCCATAGCTGGAGCCTCCAGGTTTCTCTTTCGCCTGCCCGACTCACCAAAACGGCAGAAACCTCCACGCTCGCCGTTCATACACTTGAATTCTGCCTTCACAGTTCGTCAACCCGGTTGCGCACGCGGGCGCTCGCTGGGAACCTTTCCTGCTGTGCCTCACTTTAGATCGCGTCGAAGCAGTGTGGAGTAAAGCGTGAGGATCCAGCGGTCGTTGTGCACATTGCCGTCGCGAACTAAACGTATGCCGCCATCTTTGTTTTGGTCATGCATGTTGTCGCATCAAGCATTGTCGTCGATGTTTGTCGAGACGCTGAGCATCCGGAGTATTTTCTTAATGATAGTTTGCTTAGCTGACGCTTACTCAGTGACGTGTAAAACATTTTACCAGTTCCCGCCAAGCAGAATCTTTATCTATGTTGCGATGCAGGCATCCATTACTGTTGCAGTGCATGCCACCGAGTGCGTTTGAGCCTTGACTACCCGCCACTAGCAGGCACGCTTCGTAAGACCTGCACCAAAGTAGGGTTAACTAATGGTTTTCTGAACCATCTTGAAACACAGGCTAAAGCGTATCCGACTCAACCAAATTCATCTGACTATCACCTTCGAAACCTTGGACGCTTCCTTAGCCCATGCTATCGAAGTGCATTTTGTGAATTGATTTCTGTTTTGTCCATGTTTTGAAGCAGGGGCAGTATGTCGTCCGTGAGTTTGGTGAGGACTTCCTCGGCTTCCACTACGGTTTTGCCTTTGAGCATCTGCGCCGCCTTCTCGTCCATCTCATCAACGTTGCTTAAAAAGCCTTCAGTTTGGCCATATTCTCCGACAGCCAGGTCCCAATGTTTGCTCTCTCTTCGCTGTCTGCGTGTCGATCTAGTTGGCTATCATGCTAATTATTTCGTGTAAGGCATCAGGAAGTCGTTCCTGGTAACATTAATACAAGGTGAGATTCGTGCAACCGCCTTGTTAAAGTCTAACTGATGTTCACTGGGTGCATATTCGCTCTCGCTCTACGCCTCAGTCTTTCTGCACATACGATGTCTCCATCTTGTACGTTCCTAAACAGTAAATCTTTGTTCAGCAGCGAGATGACCTGGAAAATGTCAACAGCAATGGTGTGGCTCTGCGTCCAACTACCACCACTACATCCACAGCATCTAGCCAACCAGATCCGGGGCTTGAAATCCGGGCCCGTTGTTCTTCTCGTATCAAGGTATTATCAATACTGTCGGAGAATGACTGCGCGTTTGTTGCTGATGATGAAGATTGCCCTTCGCTCACAATACAGCTCAGTACATGTGCACTTTTCTCAGACAATTAATTATTAACTTCGTCGTTATCGTACCAGTCAATCTCGGTCAGCAGAATGGCGACGGCCGAGACTTGCGAGCGAACATAGCGCAACAGTGTCGGGGTGAACAAGAATCCACTTTACTTATTGCCGAAACGATGTGGCTTAGGATGCCGGCACCAGTGTTTCCTAGCTTGGCACCAGATCGGAATCCTAAACTCCAGAAACTCGTGGCGTGACATTGCACGACACATCGAAAGCCTCAGCAGAAGAACTATTGTGTGCGTGGGCCAAATGGGGGAAACCCACGCCGTGGCAATATAGCGAATAGAATGGTTGGCGTTGACACTTGGTCGCAGTCGTCGATATAGCATTGAGGTCGTTCGATTCATCAATCAGCGAGTTTGTATTCAGTAGATTGCGCACTCTGGTGCCTGCAACCAATGTGGGAATGTGACCGACGTCTTTCGTCCCCCATTGTGTGGTCAGCAAACCGACACCAGTGGTGTCACCACAGAATTAAAGAATCAGCGGTAATTTGCGGTGAGTCTCAAAGCCTCCCTGCTGCCCCAACGCTCAGATCCCGGGGCCCCCCACGCACAAGCTGCACGGACGTCAGCCGACGGTGTGCATCCGCGGAGGTTCTTCTCGTCGTCGCACCGCCCGCGGTAGGCGGTATAGTGCTTCGCGATCTGAACGCGCTGGTACCACCACCTTATTTCCACACTTGAAAACGTTCAAATCTTGTGTGTAACACTGTTGTTCTAGATTCTAATGCGTCAGATGAAATGGATACAAAAATCAAGTTAACGGTTCGTGTCACATGATCTCAAAATTTAGGTTAGACGAATAGAATACCAGCTTGGTGAGCTCAATCAACCTCTCTACAGCTCAACCTGCTTTGACTTTGCCGGACGTAGTGTCGTGGCCGTCACTACGTCCTTGGATTTTTCCTTCTTGTCTTTTGGTTCGTCATCATCTAGCAGGCACGAGAGCACTTCCAGTAGCTCTTCATCGGAGACGTAGTGTTCCCTGCTAGCGTCCAGCTTCAAGTCCTCGCCAATAGGGGTGACCTGCATCTCAACACCAGTAGGACTGTTGCCACCCCACGCGTACATATTGACTGGGTCGGTGTCCACGCTCGTGGGCGACTGCTCCTCTTTCTTGGCCTCGCTGGCCAGCGGGTGTCCGAAGCGGATGTGCTGGTTGCGCATGTGGCGGTTCAAGTTGCCCGTAGAGCTAAAGGTCTTGTTGCAATTCGCAAACTTGCAGCGGCGCATGGGTGTGCCCACGTGCACGCGCACGTGACGCTGTAGTTTGTGCTGCGTGGTGAACATCTTGGTGCACCCAGGTGAAGGACACGCGAGCGGTTGCAGTTCGTCGCCGTGCAGACGGCGGTGGCGCGCCAGGTTGCTGGTTGTGGTGAAGCGCTTACCACAGCCGCGTGCAGGGCATCGGTAGGCCTTCTCGCCTGTGTGCGTAGCGAGGTGCTCCTGCAACGCATAGCGACGCGAAAACTGTCGCGGGCATTCACCGCATTGGAAAGTCAAATAGGGTGCGAATGCCTTGCTTGAGGCGGAAGACGATGAGAGCGTCATGGGTTTCAGTACTTCCGACGCGAACCGCGGGGTCATGGTGGAGACGAATTGGTACACAGAGGTCGACATGCTGTTTCGGTCGGGTCTTGTCGGTCTGTGTAAGGCACTTGTGGGGTCAACGTTAAGTTGGAAAATGACGAAATGTCAGCAAAGCGGTCAGGACCATCGCACCTGCGTCCACTGCACCCTCTCTTTCGACAATTTTTCGAGCGTCATCTTCTTTGATGCTCAATTTCGGTGTTGTTGCCCTTCCAGAACCATGTCCAAAGCTGTACGACTCGGATGAGACTTGCTTGCAGTGCAAGTTGCACGGCCGATCACGAGACGGCGATCTGATGGAGCCCAGCCGTGCGCACACCATGTAGACACCGGGTGAGTCATATTCGT